AGAGGAGTAGAAAAAGTTAGTGCAACAGAGGTAATGGACTTAGTCCAGTAAGAGTGACAGGGAACACACAAACTCTTCAGAGGGCTGAGAAGAACATGCTGGTGGACTTTCATTGCCTTCAAAACCCAGAGGAATCTACATCTACAGCAATTAACACAGATATCTGTTGATCATCTGAGATCTTCAAAGCCCACTTCTCTTTAACTTCTTATTGAAATACTGTGAACATTTTAAAGGACTCCCAAGGACTTGCTATCTTGAAAGTCACACTTTGTTTAAATTTTATTTTAATTTTTAATCTCTTTGAGAAGGCAACTTGAAGTGGCACTTATCAGAGTTCTTAAATGAGGATTCGCAGGCTTTGCATCACCACACAGACAGAGGTGTTTGATTGAGGGCTTTAAGACTGAAGACCTTTCCACTGACACCGAGGACATACTGACAAGGAGAGACAGTGGGGGATTACGACAGACAGAGAGAGAGAGAGAGAGAGAGAGAGGGTGAGCGGGAGAAGAGAGAGGGTGAGTGGGAGAAGAGAGAGGGAAACCCCACATAGCAATTTCTGCAAGTTGTGATGACTATTTCCTCAGAGGAACTTCACACAGTTTCTCCTGGACATTGACCGATTTCGAGAGGGTGCTGTGCAATAGACTGGAATCATCTGGTAAGGTTAAGGTGAGCCCTGAGGCTCTGCTCGCTCTCTAAACCTGTGTAATTGCATCCGGCTCACCACAATGCATGTGCTAATCTTGGAATGAACTTTTAAACACCTGTTTGCGCTCGGCCGAGTCGCCTTTTTGTAACACGCTGAGATCTGGGGTTGTTCTGTGTGCTTGGGTAATCACTTCTAAGCTTCAGCCTCCCACTACGCTGCTGTCATGGGTTGTATGGATAACATCTGTCGCCTCGGGCAACATCTCATTCAGATGGTTTAAGTGCAGGGTTAATCTTTGCTGGGCTGGGAAAAAAAAGTCCTGCGGGTTTGCTGAGGACAATAGAAGTGAGAGATTTGGGAACGGCGTGTTTTAGCGGCAACAGGCAGTTAATTGGTAATAAACACACAATGGCTGTTATCAGAGAGGGTCCCGGATGCAATCGAAGACAACAAAGCAGCCGCGTCAATAATGACATCTGCGAGCATTCAGACCAAAAGAGTCATTCCCCATGTGCTGTAAGGGTCTAGACAGGTTTACGAACACACTGAGGTGTGAATGGTGGAAAAGGAAATAAAAAAGGGGTTTAAAACAGCATGAAAGGAAATGAGATGGGGGAGTGTTTTACACAATGTATGTTTCAGTTTTATGATCTTGAATTATTGGTTTTGGAATTGGAGAAAGGATAAGGAGAGGGATGCAAGACTGGGATGAAGGGATGTAAAGTAAGCTACACAACCCAATCCCAGAGCGAAATGATTGGCTGGGACAGGATGCTGGAGAGTTGACTGTGGATGTGACTATTTGTTTCATTCCCCATGAAGCTTTTTTTCCCCATTTGTAGTAATCGGAATGGAGGCAGACTTCTGAAACAGGCTTTGTTCAGCCACAGTTCTGTTTGAATAAGAGAGAGCTTATGGGTGAAGATGTTTTCAAAATCTAGTACTCTCTTTATTGACAGACATGCCATGGCAACAAAATACACAAAGTCCATAATTGCAACTGCATACAAAGCACTAAGGATTGTTTATACAATGGTCTAGACCCATGGTTTTCAACTAGGGGTCCCTGAAGGTACTCCAGTGGTTTGCAGAGAGGATAACATATGTAGAATTTGCTTATATTCTCTGATTATAAACTACTTATTTTTTTAAGTATAATATATTAATAAAAATGTTTTAATGAAAGCTATCAAAGTCTTACCTGCTTTCTCATACTGGGGGTCCCTCTAGCTGCAGGGTCTGTAAAGGTTGGAAGCTACTGGTGTAGCAGCACAATGTCATTAATATTTGCAGGTATTCGTATCTAGGTTTTGATATACTGAATGCAGAACGGTACAATGTGGATGTATTGACAGTACCTAAAATGTATTAGTATTTACATATGCACAGCTTTAGAAAGGTTTGAAAAACAGAACTATTATTAGTATTATGCATCATTTCTTTATTAAAACTCATGTAATAATACAATAAAATCAATTTATTAATTGCAGGAATTCAATGTTTTATTAACCTAAAAGGATTTGCAAATACTTGCATGCCTGAAGTTTTTAGTATATAAAATGCTTCTTTTAGATGCTGCTGGTACATTATTAATGTACTGTATACTACTGTTCAAACTTTTTTTTTTTGAAGAAATGTATACATTTATTAGGATGCAATAAGTTTACCAAAAAATGACAGTAAAGACAATTATAATGTTTTTGATAAACCAAAAAATATATAAATAAATAAATCTGACCTACCCCAAACTTTAAGAGTATCTACAATTTCTACTGAGATCATGAAAACTGTCAGAAACTACCTAAAAACTGATAAAATATTTTAGTTCATTACAACTCAAGTTTAGGTCTGCTCCTCACACAAAGCCTTCAGAAAACTTGGAATAACTTGGAATATAACATTTTGGGCCTTTTATGGTAGCTTGAAAGTTTCAGTCAATAATTACTGTTATGGGAAAGGGCAACTTCAACATTCTGCTAAACTTCAGCATCAACATCTCCTTTTGTATTCTTTGGAAGAAAAAATTAAATGAGGATAAGTACACAATAGCATCATTTTTGGGCGAACTATTCCTTTAAATAGAACGTGACACTGCGGAACATAATTACACTAATGATGCACAAACAGGTCCATTGTTAAACATGTAAAAGACCTGTGTTTACTCTCATTACTCTGTGTGCTCCGCTAACCTACATATTACTGAAGTCAGAGTTAATTTGTAGGGGCACACAAGCATGAGTGTGAGGTGAGGACTTCATCAGCCTTCACCAGTCTCTCTGTGTGTGTGTGTGTGTGTGTGTGTGTGGCAGCTTGGCTCACCCTAATGAGGAGGGGTGGAATTTAAGGAATGCCACGCTAAAGTTGAAATGAGAAGGGCAGGCGAGAACAAGGGAATGATGGAGCGAGAGGGAAAGACTGAAAGAAGACATCAAGCAGTTGTGTTCCCTCAGCCCCTAATCAATGACTCAAACACTGTGACTGTGCCACAGTCAGCCACATTCAGGAGTAATGACAGTTGATGTAAATGACTTCACTCTGCACTAATGCTATATGGGTTAAGATTAGAGTTCTATTTCAATTAATGAGTTGGAATTAGAAATGAACTGGCCACAATACACAACATGCTGAATTTGAATGACAGGAAAAGGAACTTACTGGATGTATTATTCTTAGAAATTTAGAGACATTTTAGTTTATTAATTATAATTTTTTATGTATGAAGTAATCTATTAATAATTCAACTAATTATTATTTTTAAACAAGATCATTTAAAACGTATTCATTATTATTTCTTGATGAATACATTTGTTCCCTAACTCACAATATATATTAATCTAAAATAAGTTAGATGATACTATTCAATAAATACTATTGAAATGTACTATTTTTTATGAAAAAAAAAGCTGTTCTTTTGAATCCTGTACAAATCTATCATGGTTTCCGCAAAAAATATTATGAATCACAACCGTTAAACACTGATAATAATCAGAAATGTTTCTTGAGCACCAAATCAGCAATACATTTAATATTAGTATCATATAATAAAATAAACATTTAGTAATTACATAATATAATAAACTGAATAACATAAGTAATTAACTAGAGCGTGCTTGGAAATAAAGCGGTTTCAAACAAAGATTATTAGCATCATTTAATAACCTGGACACAATACATTGAGAATATGATAACATGTTTAATAGGTTATTCTGAATAAGATGAAATGTAATCAAATTCAAAAATCTAATTATGAAATACAATTCTGCATCCTGTTTGCAACCTCATTTTCAATTAAATTTAAATTCAGGAATTAAATAACATTCCAAAGTATATAATTAATGATGCACAACAAGGCAGAACTTGTTTCCATCAGTTATTGTTCTTTCCCTTTTAAAAGGTGTTTCTTTCTTTTTTTGAATGAGGAATATGTGGAATAGTTCAAAAGTAGTCCAGTCATGCTGTAGCTTGTAAGTCATGCCACATCTGTCATGGAACACTGGACGAGATAAACTTCACTTTGGCCTGTCAGGGCTTCTCGAGGTGCGTGTCAGAAGGACAGGCTCTGGAGGATGCTGTTCCCACCAAAAGAGTAATAACAGCTCTCTGGATTAGGCAGATGTGCTTTCTCTTGTCCTGCCACTCACACAGACATTTCACCACAGACGAAAGCATTTCCATTGTCTCTTTATGCTGGTTGGGGTGCCCTAGCTCTTAGACTCAGGGTCTCCATTGAATTTCTGTATCACATGCTCTCAAACACATCTTATGTTCCACTCAGAGAAACCACAGTTAGACACACACAAACACATGAGTGCAGACGCACACAGAGGCACAAGCTCACACACCACAGTAAAACCACATACCGCAGCATTAGCTTGCACGAGATGCTGCCTGCTGTAATGCCCCGGCTGTCCGACACGCTGTCAGTATATCCAGCAAGTCGCAAGTCAACCTATCATTACTGGTCTGTTACAGCGGCATGAGGGAGTTTCTTAGCCTCTCATAAAATACACTCTCTAGTGGAAACCATCATTATTTTTTCCTTTCAGGAAAAAGAAAGAAAAACGACTTTTTTCTCACTAGAGTGATGCACTAGAGCTCAAAAGTTTGAGGTCGGTAAGACTTTTAAAATGTTTTTTATTTTTTTAATTCTCTTATGCTCACCAAGGCTGCATTTATCGGATCAAAAATACAGTAAAGACAGAAATATCATGAAATATTATATAAATAATATAAATAACTGTTTTCTATTTTTAATATATTTGGAAATGTACTACAATCCGTAATTGAGACACAAATTGTGTCCTTTGATGCAACAAACAAGAGAGCGCTAGTCCATATAGCGATACTAGAAATGCATTAGGAAATATTTGACACTGAATTCAGCGATTGACGAATCAGAATTTTGTATTCAAGATAATATACAGCATAGCTATGGACAACAGTGAGTATTAGGAAATATCTGACAATGAAAACAGTGATTGACCAATCAGAATAGAGTATTCTAGATCATTTAAATCAACAGAAGCCTAATCAAATTTGACCTGAGCAGTTGCCTCTCCTGGAAAATCCAGCTTAAGATGGTAGCTGTGTTTTGGAACATGGAAACTGGTTTCTAGCTGGTCATTAGCTTGTAAATCATCTTGGACCAGCAACAGACCAGATACTAGTTGGTCACAGCAGTTTTAGGCTGTCAGGATTGTTTGTGAACAAGCTAATGATGACTTTAGACTACCTAGAAACCAGCTACTGTGTTTCAAAACAGGATTTTCCAATAGGCGCCTATATATCCTTCTTGTCAATCAACAGCTTTTAAAATTTCTGACAATCAGTCTGTCAGTAAGATTAGAGAGACAAAAGCAGTTTGTGTGGAGCGGGACAAAATTGAAAAGTCCAGACAGCAGAATGGGGACATGAGAATGACAAGTTTTCATGGGACAGAAAACAGCAGGAGGTTTATATCTCACATCTTTTTTTTGTTTTTTTTATAAGATTATATAACTTATTATCAGTGGCCGGAAATATGAAAATAGTTTGGAAGCACAAATAAGACAGATGCTATGCAAACAACCGTTAAATCATCTCTCATGTATGTGTGCAGTTTAAACAGTAAGAACATGAAGGGTCCTGTCAAAGTTGGGTGAAAAAGAGGCATGAATAGAGAGAGACGACAAGAATTGCAATTCCATTCTATTAGAAGAATATTTCTGCACTGACCCAGCGATGAATTCATGATGTGGACAGACAGATTGCAGGTTTCCAGTGCATTTGCTGACTTCATTGGCAAAGGTCTGTTATTGTGGTTACTGTGCATAAACAACCACAATAAAATAAACAAACTGAATTTTGTTTGCATCAATCCTCCATCTGCTCAACAGAGACAGCTTGACAAGCAGTGATGTTAATACTAGTGGTAAAATGTTTCAACCAGTAAAAAAAATCCATCCATTAGTGCTAATATTTCTAAAATCTCCCTGATGTTAACACTGAACCAACTCCCCTCTGGCTGTCCTCCCAGAATATGTTATAAAACTAAACTAATGAGCACTGCAATCCCCTTTTCTCCAGATAATTCCCAAAAAACTCTGCTGTCAGCTTTGTATGTTTTCCGTGCCATGATGATAACAGGCTGACAGAACATTTTGGACCTGTTTTTGGAGAAAAATAAATCTAAATAAAATGCTAATTTGTTTTTCTGATCTTGGTCATTAATAATTAGAGTTCATGAAACTGCTTAATTATACAACAGACAGATTGTCAGATGGAGCATAAGTGGTGCCTTTTTTTAGTGACTCTTTCTGCAGGTGTTCTTAATGAGTGAATCACTGAATCATTCAACCGATTCATTCAAACACACCGATGCATTCATGCACGAAACAAGTGACTGTCTTTATGAACAAGTTACTGAATTATTCACTATCGATTCATCCAAAAATAGTTTCATTCAAGAATGAAATAACTGTCTTTATTAGTGGGCCATTAAATCATTCACTCAAGCGATTTGTTCATACCCACTGATTCATTCATGTGTGAAACAAGTGGCAGTCTTTATGAGTGAGTCACTGAATCATTCGCTTAATTGATTCATTCAAAAACACAGTTTCAATCAGGAACAAAATGACTGTCTTTTTGAGTGAGAAATTAAATCATTCATTCAAACAATTCATTCAAAACAACTGATTCATTCATGAACAAAACAAGTGCGATCTTTATGAGTGAGTCACTAAATAATTAACTTGATCGATTAATTGAAAAACGCTGTTTAGTTCATGAACGAAACAGTTTATGAGCAAGTCATTGAATTTTTCTCTCAACTGATTTGTTAAATCAAAAAATGATTCATTCAGAAATTAAACACCCTTATTGTGCATTGCTCGAAGATGCAATGGTTAAAAGGATCGGTCTTAAATGCAAGTTATTTGATATTAATATATTTTTGACAGAACTTCTGTGTAAAGAGATGTCACATGCTAATATTCAGTTTCTACCTGTGAATGTACATGTATGTGGAGATCAGCAAACCGGCTCTCAGTGGGTCAGAAAGATGCTGCACAGCACCACTCCGCAACTCAATTCACCAGCAGCTTTCAATTTAAGTTAGATTTAAAGATGAAGCACTCTAGTTATACTTTCTAGGAAGAAGTGTTCTCCAAAGCTTTCACAGGCATCCTTCCACTTCTCACTGCGTCCCCTCTTCCAGACATCCCCAGGCTGCTTTTTCATTAATATGCTCACTCTCTTTGAAACTTGGGATAAACAACACAAAGTGTTTTCAAGTTATGAATATAAAAGGCCATCTGTTGTGTCTTTATGTAACTAGTCTTTTCATTGTGAATAAATAAATCACGTCATACCTTCCTGGAGACTGAAATCAAATGACAGACATCCATTGGAAGCAGGCTTCAGATTTGCTCTGTCTTCGCAACTATCATAGCAACATATGTTATCCCTCATACAATCAGAACAAACCCTCCCCATTTTACATTTTTAAAGTGACATGCATACCAAATGCAATCTTGTGTTTAAAAATGTGAGACGTAGCACAGTGAAAAGTAAAAGCACACAGGTTCAGATAACCAAGTGTCGTCAGCGAGAACTCATTCATATGGCAGTTTACCAAAGCAGAGTCCTGCCAGGACACCCATGATGACCAAACAATCCATTCAGCAGAATTCAACACTCCGTGTCATCCTGCAACACAGGCAGCTCCACTGCTCTATGGGATATATAGTTTTTGTATGAGGTGTGGGTGGTCAAAGCTTGCCTGATTATGGCAACGGTGTTGTATGTATACTAAAACTATTTAAAAATATATTTTTGTTAATTAAAATAAAAAAATGTTAAAAAATTCTAAAAATTACAAAAGCACAAAATTATTAAAAAATAAATTAAAACTGAAAAATAAAAATATGAACAATATTATATACAGTGGGGGAAAAAATGTTTGTAGGTGACCAAATACTTATTTTACCGAGGAATTTACCAATTAATTCTTTAAAAATCCTACAATGTGATTTTCTGGATTTTTTTTCTCATTTTGTCTCTCATAGTTGAGGTATACCTATGATGAAAATTACAGGCCTCTCTCATCTTTTTAAGTGGGAGAACTTGCACAATTGGTGGCTGACTAAATACTTTTTTGCCCCACTGTATATATATTTTAAGATTGTTTAGCTGACAAGAATATTAAACAATTAAAAAAAGTTAAACAATAGATTAAACTGAAGTTTGCATAACAAAGTTGAAAAAAAAGGACAGCAGTAAAGTAATTTTTTGAATATATGTTCATTTACATTAACTTTCTGAATAAACTGATTTGCAATAATGAATCAAACAACCTAATGCAACGTATGAGAGAGAAACGTTTAGGACGAACTGATTCACTAGAATGAATCAAGCTTGCCAACATATGAGAGAGTGTTTGAGTGAGATTCAAGTCCAGAAGCTCCAGCGAAGCCAAGAACTTGCAGAATATGGGGCTGCAGAGCCTCAAAATTCCCTGCTGTGAGGGTCAGCCTGTCTGCTTCTCCATCAGTGCTGAAGGAACATGGTGGCTTGCCAGACCATTTCTCCCAGTGAAACCTAATCTATCCCCAGAGATCAAGAGCTTCCATGACTGGGTTACAAACAGGGGCAGCTCACTGACTCCTGTTGTAATGAGCTCTCTGTCGTGACAGATGTTGAGTGAGGTGCCAGATCTCCTGTCTAGATCAGTTGGGGTTGTGTTAGCTTGGTTAAGATAGGCCTGTTCAGACAGATAGAGGGGGAAATTAACCTCATGCCTCCCATAGGCCTCAAGGATGGAAAAATATATCCTTAAACCCTTAGGGTGGTGTCAAAGTAAACATTTTAAGGATTACAGTTCTGACTGTTCCAAAATGATTTAGGGAATTGTATGCACAAAGGCAACTTTGATTGTTGTGATGTGAATTATATGCTTGACCTGGGGGTCAATTAAACACAAGAATGCCCACAAAACACATAGGCAAGCTTCTTAAGATACGGTCACATTTGTGAAGTTTTAATCGAAATTTCGCTGACAAAAAAGGTAATTTTTTTGTTTTTAATGGTGTAGCAATATATGAAGCACAACTCACATAGAAGTCACTTTCAAACCAACAGCTTTCTGTTGGTCAAAGTGGCAAACTTGTTGCAAAATCTGCATTACAAAATCATTCACCCTTACTCGAAATGCATGATCATGCTAAAGAAATTTGCAGAACAATGGTACCAATGTGACCGCACTTTTAGAAATGTATCCAGTATTCATGGTGTTGAAATTTTCAACAACATTTGACATTTAATGACTTAAAAATGTCATGTAGACCATCAATAAAAGTAACTATTTTTAGATAAAAAGACAAAAAAAGTAAAAAAAAAATAAATAAATAAAAACAGATATCATGAATTAATTCAAAAATATTGCATTTTTGGCATCACATGATATTTAACAACCTAAACTAATCAAGCCAGCAAAAGTCAAATTTTTCAAACTTAATGATTTTAACACAAGTCAAAAGGGTCTGCATGTGTCCTCTCTGAGACATAATTTTCAGTTTTATGTTAATCTGCATGTTTTTCCATGTTGGTTTTCAAAAATCAGACAGCAATGAAGCCATTTGTATTAACATTTGTTCTAAAAATCAATAAAAAAAAATATCATGGCAAACTACTTGAGGTTTTGAAAAATATATTTTTAAAAGAATAAAAAAATAATAAAAGAAATTCTCCACTCATGTAATTCACAGGTGTGTGTGGTCATGGATGTTCCCGCCCTAGTATGGCTGGTGTTGCTTTTGGCGAGTGGACGGCTGCCTGAAACGGAGGGCAGCACTCAGCAGTTTGACAGCAGTGATGAAGGTCCGGAGGTTGAATTCCTGTCGACCTCTCGCACACGAAGGGCCCCCAAGCCTCCTCCGCAAGACAAGTGCTCCTACACCTTCATCGTACCCCAGCAGAAGGTTACGGGAGCCATCTGTGTGAATTCCAAAGAGCCAGAGGCTGTGCTGGAGAACCGTGTCAATAAGCAGGAGCTGGAACTCCTCAATTCTGAATTACACAAGCAGAAGAGACAAATCGAGACTCTGCAGCAGCTTGTAGAAGTCGACGGCGGCATCGTCAATGAGGTGAAGCTTTTGCGCAAGGAGTCCCGTAATATGAATTCCCGAGTGACACAGTTATACATGCAGCTGCTGCATGAGATCATCCGCAAGAGGGACAATGCGCTGGAGCTCTCGCAACTGGAGAACAAGATCCTCAACCAGACCTCCGAGATGCTGCAGCTTACAAACCGCTATAAAGATCTGGAGCATAAGTATCAGCACCTCGCCTCACTGGCCAATAACCAGTCAGCGCTAATTGCTCTTCTTGAGGCGCAGTGTCAGAGAGGACCACCAGTTGTGGTCCCCAGGGTACCGGTCCAGCCTCAGCCCCAACCGCAACCTCAACCCAGACCCTCACCACCCCTCAATAAGCCCTACCAGCCGCCAACCTTTAGCCGCAACAACCAATTCACCAACGAGATCCAGAGCGATCAGAACCTCAAAGTGCCACCTGCCCCGCTTCCCACCATGCCAGGAGGAACTCACAGTCCATCCACAACAAACAAACCCTCCGGTGAGTCTCAGCTTCATTCCTCCAGAATTGCATGTACTATTTGAAGGGAAAACCTGAAATAAGAATAAAATACTTGTATTTTGAGGAAACAGATTATAGGTTTTACAAAACTTTCCTCCAGTAAACAAAACCAACATGCCACAATTGTCCAACATTTACACTACCATTCAATTTATTTTTTTAAGGAATCAATACTTTCATTCAGGAAATATGCATTAAATTGATAAAAAAAATTACAGTGAAGACATTTATAATGAGGTCTAAAAAGACCTCTTAACTTTTTGAAGTAGAAAAATTTGTACATAAATGTCAGAAGCAACATCAATAGTTATTGACATTAATTTAAAGTGTGATATTTCCATTTGATGACTCTTGTGTGGTTTTCAGTTCTCTCACAGTCCTCCATCATTATTCAGCATTGCCTATCAAAGTTCATTGATCTCAAATTCTCTCTACATAGCGGCTCCCACACAGAGATGTGATGATAGAGCATCTGTTGTTGTCTCAGCTTTGAAATGCCAACATCTAGTTTGTTAATCTGGTCAGATGATGAATATCATAAACAATATTTTGTGCTGAGTCATACCCATGGGTGGCATTGTTGCATAAGACAACAAAAAGTTATGATCTATTTAAAACAATTTATCAGTTTCAGTCTGAATGTCATTTTACATGCTTTTGATGATCAAAAATAAGATGGAAATGAAAAGCCTAATTTTGGGGGTTAAATAATCCAGAAAAGGTTTATTTAAAAAAAAATACTGTTTGTTTTTAATTAACACTTATGCTTCATCGCAATGAACATGACTGTTCTTTATCTCAATCAAAAGGAATCATGTTTTTTCAGCAGTTTTTAATCACTTTTTTAATGTGCTTATCATAATGCATTGCAATACTATAAGAACATCATGATATCATTTTTTGCTTATATCATCCATCCCAAAACCAACATATATATTTTGTCCATTTATTATTTAAACCAAGACAGCGAAAATGAAAAAGGCATCTTTCAGTGGCTATATTTCCACTCCATCTGGTGACATGAGCAATTTCATGGCTAGGTCTGCCTGCATTAATAGCAGAAGGTTACACAAACTCTCATCAATGAGAGTCAAGCTTTCACAATGGGACTACAGTATGAAAAAGAGCTCTGGAAGGAAAAAGAGAGAAAGATTCTGGACAGAAGACAAGAAAAAAATTTTCTTCTTATATTAACTAACGTACTCTACGATTAGCTTAGTGAATAATAACAAAAAAAAATAAATACATAGACCCGCCTAGAACAAGCGGAGTCATACAAAATTGTGAAAGGGAGTTCCTGTAGTGATACCAGTACAATATCTCACGGTTCTCAACCAATCAGATTTGAGAACCAGAACAAACTGTGTATATATATATAAATTTATATATATATATATATATATATATATATATACACACACACACACACAACAGCAAGTGCTCCACACAGAGATCTGTTCTCATCATCATCCAGTCTGTCTGGAATGACATGAAGAAACAGAACAAACCAAGACAGACTAAATTCAGGAGAACTGTGGCAACGTCTCCAAGACACTTCAAGAAATCTACCTGCAAAGCTACAGTACTGTGAAAAGTTTTAGGCACTTGTGTAAAAATGCTGTAAAATGAGGATTCTGTCAAAAATAATGTCATTAATAGATATTATTTATCAATTAACTTCTATTAACTAAATAAAATCAACATTTGGTGTGACCATCCTTTGCGTTTAAAGCAGCTTTTTTCCAAGGTACACCTGCTCTTAGTTTTTCAGGTAGCTTTGCAGGTAGGTCTCTTGAAGCATCTTGGAGACGTTGCCACAGTTCTTCTGGATTTAGTCTGTCTGAGATTTTTCATGTGATTCCAGACAGACTGTATGATGCTGAGAACAGATCGCTGTGTGGAGCACTGGCTGCTGTCAGACTCCTTGTGCAAACAAAAACCTCACTGGATTATTACAATTAATGGCAAAATTAATGTTTGGAAATGTAAACTGATATTTCCTACTGACACACTACAGCAAAAGATAGAAATAACTGACTTAAAACCCTTTTTCAGCTGGTGAAAATACTAGTGTTCTAATAATTTTGGCCACCACTGTATTAAAATATATAACATTTAAAAAATATATTTTTAAAAATACTGTATTTGCCATAATAGGGTAGTAAAAAAGAAAGAAAAAAGAAATTCAGAAAAGAGTTATCAGACCTCAGTCAGATGGCCAAATGTTGGACATATGTAAAGATGTGGCCACATTTGCTATTGTTCTGCAAATTAAAAAAAAAAAAAATCCTGGCTTTTCAATATGAATCCATATGATCAAAAATGTTGTGTGGGGTCGGAAGATTCCCTTATGCAGATTTCAAGACAGGTTCAAATTGGTAATGAAAACTTGCTGCAATGCACTGTTTTTGCAATTTGTTGAAAATGCACTAATTTGACTGACCCTTAAGACAGCGCAGTCGAACCACCAATTGCTCCCCAGGCGCCGCAGCAAAAATGACTGTTCGCTCACTGCTGTTCAGTGTTCACCGCTGTGTTCTGAGTGCACTTAGATGGGTTAAAAGCAGAGCACTAATTCTGAGTATGACTGGAGAAGGAGTTGGGGAGGGAAGGAAACATCACTCTATTGAAGTGTAGTCATTTATTCCAGTGTTACCAGACATGCGTGACGCAGACATCCCACACAAACACTGCACTCTATCAGGTCTGGGTCTTCCTGCTAGATAGAAATGGTCTGCTGATGGATTTGCAAAGTTGTTTTAACATGACCCACAGCACTGAAAATCTGTAAGGCCTCTCAGTTTCCTCTTCCTCCCTTCTTCCTACCATATCTCCTCTAAAGTTCTCTTGACTTGATGGATTCGTGTTCATCTTCAGTTCAACACCTCATTCATCTCTGCGAATGTTAGCTAGGATCTTTGTAGTAAAAAGTCGATTTTCTGTCCACTGTCTTTCTCCTCGGCTATTACACTGTTTTTTGTTCAGGATGGCTCTCATTCCATCGCTCTCTCATACACACCTAATCTAAACTTTGTCCATTTGTCTGCCAGATATAACAGCTGCCTTTGTCTAAACTTCTCTCCATAAAGCCCCCTGAACAATCACCAAAATATTGTCACTTTAAAACAGCAAATGCCTCAGGAAATTAGAAGTGACTCATCTACTCATTAATATCATTGTTCTCGCTAGAAACAAATGATTCAAATAATGTACTTTGAACCTGCTTTCAGCTATTCTGTTCTGTTCCTGTCTTGATTTCTTTATTTTCTTCATATACTTGTTTTGGCACTTATTTTGCATTAAGTGGCAGGTTTCCATGGTGTAAAATGTTCTACAACCAATTAAACAGAAGGGGGCTTAAAATGAGTTTCTAATTTGCTGACAAGCAGACTTCTCCAAGGGAGAGCAAGAAATTGGTGACTCCAAGATAATGAGGCAAAGAATGTGGAGTGAGATGCTTTTATTAGGATTCATGCAAAATTAATGTGCTCGAAATTTAGCACAAAACGCTGATAAAACCTCTAATCTAGAATTGCTTTGGGCAGAATAAAAACAACATTTGTGTAACAGAAATAGAGTGAGATTCAAAGGTCAGGAACAGTCAAATTCTTATAATTCAAATAATTCAATAATAAATATCAAATGGTAAGATATTTTATATATGAAACGAAAATTAAAAAATATATATGAATGCAAATGTTGAATTGTATATATTAATGTTATACAAACAATATTGAACATTTATTATATATTACACTTATCAGATTTTTTACTTAATTTGAAATTTTTATTCATTTCTTTATTGTTATTAAAGGGGTCCTATTATGCGTTTTCACTTTTTCAACTTTAGCTAGTCTGTAATGTTGCTGTTTGAGCATAAAAAAGATCTGAAAATTACAAAGCTCAAAGTCCAACTCAAAAGGAGATATTTTATTGAACAGAAATCACTTTTCAAAAACTACAACGAACGACTCGTTTGGACTACAACGCATATTTTCCAGGATTTGTGATATCACAAATACCGACGAATGGGACGAGACCTGGTTGAGCTGCACTAGAGAAGGCAAAGAGTGTTATCACTATGTCGCAGACACGCTAGCTTTCCCAAGGCAGACGAACTTAGAGTGCTTACAATCATCCGGGTTTAAATCATGCTCAAATTGATTTGATATTGACGCAATATTTACACTGAAGCTTGCAGGCAGCTATGGTAAGGGGCGTGACATTTCCCAACCAGGCGCCGAGGGCTGCCAATCACAACACACACTGGCCCAGCTAACTAATAACAGCACATTTCGTATTTCAGAAGGCGGGCCTTCATTTGATACAGGAACTATTCGAGCCGTTCATGCCAGACTGAGAAGAGAGGTGTTGTAATAATGTAAAATATGTGAAAAAGAATGTGGTTTTCACACAACCTAGTATGAGAGCCTGTTCTAGTACACCCCCAAAACAAAATCAAGACTTTGTAAAAGAGCATAATAGGACCTCTTTAATACTAATACTACTACTACTACAAGTAATAATTCTTATTATTATTAAATATATGATACAATTCAATAACAGATGTCTGAATGTGTTAAGTCTATGTGATGCTTGTCTATTGAGATACAAAAAAAGGTAATAATCTATTGACTCAATAGAAAAAAAAGCTGTTTAATCCATGCTCCTCCTGGGATTGTGAATGCTGGAATGGGTTCAGTTTTGTTCACAGTAAGGGGCTAATGAGCTACTGCGTTGTTATCTTACATTTGTCAGGTAATGTGATGGCTCCTATTCTGGCATGAAGTTAAAATCAGCCAGCCAGAGAGATTTCAGAGACACAGACAGAACCCAGCTCAGTGGAGTGTGCACCGGCGGTCTGGGGTCTGTTATCGTAAATGCAGCCAGAAATATCTAAATTATAAGAGTGTGAATTTTAAGTACTGCTACAAGTGAAATACAAGTGAAACTGACTGGAGTAACATTTTAATACAAGAAGAGTTTGGAGTGGCTGTAAGTGAGGGCCAGCCGTCAGGCATGAGGCCTACTTTTTATAAGCTACAAGTTGAGAGTAAACACTAAAATGTTCCAGGCTACTGTAAGTAAACCACAAGGCCTCCGCAATGCTTTGGGGCTGAGATGTAAGATAACTGAAAGGCCGTCTGACAGATCTGACAGTAGAGAAAGCATGGTTAAAATACACAAACAATAATGTAAAAATATGCGATCATTCAATTCACTTTCATATCAAATTTATTTGTATAGCGCTTTTCACAATACACATTGTTTCAAAGCAGTTTTACAGAAAATGCATGTGTCTACAAATCATCTGCTTCAAGAGTTTAAGTCTAATTTCCCTACTGAAAAGATCATCATATGAAGCCTGTCACACTTTTTAATTAGCATTATCTGCTTCACCAGCTAGGCTTTGCTAGTGAATAGCATATTTGTGCTGCTCCATTCGGTAGACCAACACCAAACCAGCATAAACCAGCCAAGACTAACATGGAAATTTCTCCTTTGCTGGTCTTCCTCCAAGCTGGTTTAGTGCCCAGGTTGGGAGATCAGCTTAGTCTTTTTAAATATTTTTTTTCCCCCAGCAGGGTGTGTATCAACCTGTGTCCTGTGTTTACTACTTAAAAAAAAGAAGATCAGAGCGGAAAAAATTATTTGGATCAGGGAATGATTTTGAAGAATTTATGGATGTTCTTCTGGTTCTCATTGGAAAACTATGAAAATTGGAGCCATTTTTGACACGTCCCTATAAAAACACTGTTCTATGCCCAGGGAACTTTGGAAGTGCTTGCTAATCTACTTGCTACTGCATTATTTATCAAATGGGCCTTTCTTTGGCGTCCGAGCCAGCGTTATGTTTGGCTGGAAGAGCAGAGGCAACTTCCCAGGCCAGAATGGCAGCCAAGGTCAATCCTCTTCTTATGTTAAGAGCTCTTCCAGCTGTGCCACGGATGAACAAGAGACCTAGCGGGAGTAGATGCAACTGAGAATGGCGTGCAGAGGGCTCCTTAGTATGACTTCCTTTGATTATACAATTGCTTCAGCTTTGCACCTGAATATCTCTTCAAGCCAACAAGTAGTTCTGTCCATCACAGTGTCATATACTCATGCACAATTTGACAGCAACAGGCGGGAGACTTCCTATAAAAAAGATAAAACTTCTCTGAGAATGTATCATATGAGGATATATCTTGTTAAAGGGGTCATATGATGCTTTTTGAAAGATCATTATTTTGTGTATTTCTCTGGAGGACGGTCACACTAACAGTGGCATGCACCTAGTGAAGCCAGAGAACACCAACAAGCTGATGCAGGTGTGGTGTGATCAAAGACAGGATCCTGGCGGCTGGACAGTCATCCAGAGAAGAATGGATGGCTCCGTCAACTTCTTTAGAAACTGGGAGACATATAAGGTGAGCCAGGAATAGAAATTCTGGAAGATAAATTCTAGACATAATTATTATGATTATCAATGTAAAAATAGGGGAAATGAGCAATCTAATTAAATATAATATCTCTATAGTAGACAGCCTATAGTAGAATGCCTTTCTTTAGCAACGGTGATAAATTTAACAAACAAGTGAATTTATGTTTCTGTGGTAACAACTTGCATACGTTTTACCTTTGTCACTTAATATCACATGGTCTATAACTCTTCACATAAGCTGAACCTTATGTCAGATAACATACAGAGCCATGCACTTAAAGAGGTTTAATGAGGAACATGTGCCAAGCAGAAACTACCACACTGTGCTGAAATGCCTCAATGCAAATAAAAACCATTTAATGTTACTCAACATTAATATGATCTATATTTATGTTTTATATATGACATATACAATATGTAATATAATAATATCTCAAAGTATAATAGGCAAAAAGATGCCCATCAATGCAAATAATGTGCTGGCTAATGAAAAGCCTACCAGTAAAACAAAAAAGGAAAAAATGAACAAGAATAAAAGATCAAAAAAGTACAAACCCTACAGCAATTAATGCATTTTTTTCAGCCTCAAGGACATGACAAAATAATATAGAGTAAGTAATGTACACTAAAAGAAATATTTTACTTGGTCCATCAAATACTCAATGGCAGGTGCTCCTCTGTTTTATTACAGCAAGGCTTTGGAAACATCGATGGAGAGTACTGGCTGGGCCTGGAGAACATATACTGGATAACCAGCCAGGCGAACTACAAGCTGCTGGTCACCTTAGAGGACTGGTCTGGACGCAAGACATTTGCAGAGTACGCAAGTTTCCGCCTTGAACCTGAGAGCGACTTCTACAGGCTTAGGGTGGGCCGCTACCACGGTAACGCTGGTGACTCCTTAACTTGGCATAACGGGAAGCAGTTCACCACTCTGGACAGGGATCATGACGTATACACAGGTATCAGTAAAATTAGATTTAGATATTAGATTTTATAATTTATTACTGACCCATACACATCTTACCTAATAATGTGTTGTTGTTGTTTTTTCTCAGGCAACTGTGCCCACTACCAAAAAGGAGGCTGGTGGTATAATGCCTGTGCCCACTCAAATCTGAATGGCGTGTGGTACAGGGGAGGTCACTACCGCAGCCGCTATCAGGACGGCGTGTACTGGGCTGAATTCAGAGGAGGCGCCTACTCCCTCAAGAAGGTTGTGATGATGATACGACCCAACCCCAACACCTTCCACTGAGCAGCACATAAACACAGGGGATGAACTGATAACTGCTCCCCAACGGTCGCCGTTCACCCTATAAAGTGTGATTCATTTGTGGTTTGGCTTCCTACGTAACAAACAGTGTCTTGGCTGATGTAGCTGAGAGGCAACACCAAATTGTCAGGGACTACAAAAGAAAGCTCTATTAAGTGCTATTTACAATGCAGAAAATGAAGTGTGATGAATTGGCTTGTTTTCCTTACAATAACTTGTCACTAGGAAGTCATCTAATAAAAACATATGAACATGATGTGCTTTTTCACTCTAGTTCAGTCAAATCAAATGAACCTGTTCTTTTTTAAATATACAGTGCAATTGTGAATCTGTTGTCAGTTGATTAGAATTATTTTATGAAATAGCATCAGTACTAAATAAGACACAGGACATCCAATCCAGTGATAAATAACTTATGCTTTCCTAGTTTATTCAAAGCTAAGAGAATAAATATATTTCCTGATGAGATGAATGACTTATAATTTATTTCAGGAATCTCATGTTTAAAATTCATAGAATGTTGTAGTTTTTTTTTTTTTTTTTAAATATGCGTAATTAAACATAAAAACACATCTTAAAACAGTCATGAATTGCTCCATCTAAACTGTATTTACTGTGTAAATTAACTGTTGGTGTCAAATGAGATCCAATATGTTTATGTACATATAAACGTAATATTGTTGAAAATAATGTGTAATTTGTAATATACTGTAAGTGTAACTGAATTCCCCAAGTGCTGTCAAACTGTTGTAATAAAGGATGTACAGCTACAGGCTTTGTCTGTGAATGGATTGAACATCAATCTACTACAGCTGTCTTGGTTCTGCTGTATATTGACCTGACAAGTGTTATGAGCGAAAGTAAAAGGAAAAAGCACAAGCAAACCATTCGAAAATGCTACAAACAACAAATTCACTCTTTGACTAGGTAAAAATAAATGTTATATAAATATAACAAGCTCCAATGAGCAGGACAATACGTAACTTGGTTGGAAATCTAAGAGGCAATTGTATTTGAGGATTTAAAACAGAAATCAGAATTTGGACATTTTGATTAAAATTAATTAAAAAAATAATAATTATTATTATTCGTTATTTTATCTCCAGGTCATTAGATCTGTGTGACACAATTATATTTATTATAATTAAGATCACATTTGCAAAAATGTCTCCGAAATTTTGCAGGCACCTTTAAAATAAAAAGCTGTAGGGGAGCGCGGGGCACAAAGTAACACGGGGTTAGTTGTAACGCACGTGGTTTAAATATTTCAACACATGCTAGCATAACCAAATTTACAGCATTTACTAGTTACTATATCAACATTATATAGAGAAAAAAGTGCGCCAAAATTCAAAAGTCTTTTGAAGATATCGCTGAACATTTATTTTACCATAGTAAAATTATATTTTTTATTACTCATTTAAAATGAAACAAATCTGCTGTTATTTTAATCTCCAATCTGTTTTTTTATCAGTTTAAATAATTTTTTAATGCTCAGAAGATGTATCAGAAGACAGTAAACAGTTTTAAATTGCAGTTGCGCAGATGGGGCACGTTGTAACACTGCGTTACAATGTGCTTTATTACTCATTTAAAATGAAACAAATCTGCTGTTATTTTAATCTCCAATCTGTTTTTTTATCAGTTTAAATAATTTTTTAATGCTCAGAAGATGTATCAGAAGACAGTAAACAGTTTTAAATTGCAGTTGCGCAGATGGGGCACGTTGTAACACTGCGTTACAATGTGCCCTGCTGTGCTATTCTATGACATTAGCGATGTAATTCACACTATTTATAATACATTTTAATGATAAACGACGATAAACAAACATTATTTCAAGACATGTAAAGCATTTTGGCTCGTTTATGTGGGCCGTCCCAAGCATGGTTGCAATGTGTTCACTGTCAAACTCCAAAATCAGATTATTTTTAATTCTTAAAAAAACGGCATTATTTTATTTGAAATAAATAATAATTTTATTTTATTGAAAAAATATTTTAGTTTGTCTTGTATATTTTTTTTATTCAATCAGATAACATTTTAAGCTGTTATATGGTCATGTTACAACGTGCCCCTCAGATGTTACAATGTACCCCACCTACGGGGCATGTTGTCACATTTCACTTCCAATTTTTGAGGGTAAATAAAGAAAAACGTATACACTGTAATTATGAAACAAAGCAATATATTTGTACTAGACAAGTGTGAAATTACTGTGGATTATAAAATTATACTCTGAACCCCATGTGGATTTACACAATTTAAGAAAGTCAAAAAGTGTTACTTTGTGCCCCGCTCTCCCCTACACATAATTGGAAAGCATACTGGTTTAGGCTATTCGCTTCTTAAGTACTTCTCAAGCTTCATTAAGGCTAATGGTTTTTAAACTGCACATTTCTGTTGTTAGTGAAGCTGGCAAGTTATTGGCTTTAATACTTTCAAAACAATATCATGATAATAAAAAAAAAAAAAAAAAAGATTTTACAACATGTGATGCTGTGCAATTTTCCCCATTATCTTCTATTCCAAGTGTAAAACAGGATACACCTTTTCAGGGGTTCTTTTTGTACAAACTAAAGGTATCAATCATTTTCTGCAGTAAAACCAATAATACAAGTTCTACTAAATACATCAAAACGAATTAAAAGAATGTTTGACAAAACCCCAAACCCTTTCATTTCCTTTTTCCCAATGGGAAATGGAATGGGCCACTGGAGAAGTGCAGTGGAAACTGATAGATCTGAAGTGACAGCTTGCACAACCTCAGCCATGTCAGGCAGTCTTTCCGTCTCTGTGGTTTCAACAGCCTGCTGCTCAGAAATGGGAATATGTTACCCTGCAACTAAACCACACGGTACCGGCACCAGGTACAGCGGTTTCTGCTGTGTGACGTCTGAGAGAGCCCTCTGTTGAGTGGGACGCAGTTTACTGACACACTGCCCAAGTGGAAGCAGACACTCAGTGTGGATTATGTAAAGGAAATTTGGTTAATGAGAAAGATGTGTGCAGCTGAGAGAAGCGAGTCGACATGCGTCAGCTCTATCCACATGTTTACCTTCTTAGAAATGACAGTGACTGTATGTTTGTACATTTCAGACCTCTAGAAAGGAATGAGCCCACAAGCTACAAGCCAAGAGACAATTTGACTTACTGCCATCTGAAGTTATTCCCGACTGGCCCTTTAGTTATTCACATACCACAATGACACAAGAGCACCTGGAAAACTGTGACCATGAGCTTGGGACTCAAGCATGTGGCAATGACATACTGAACGGTCTGTTATGCTGTTCAAAATCAAACATCCACATCTTATGAAGTGCATCTCGTAAAAAAACAAGACAGTCATACATCCAAAAAGCCTCCTAAAGGTAAAGCTTCCAGATCTCTTTCTGATCAGGTCGGGCTATCGGCTGACAGCTGGATTAGTAATACGGACCTCGCTGCTGATGACTAAGACGGAAGAGGGTAATTGAGTGAAGGATCTGGATCCTGTTCCCCACAAGAGTGACAATCCTGAGGGAGGCATCCATTTCGAGTGCTGTCAGTACCTTTAGAGGAGACTGATGTGTGTGTAACTAATCGCTCACTGGGCTTCTGCAACATCCAATGAGAGTCTCTGACAGACGTCTATTCATAAGAGAGAAAAAAGGGGCTACCAATTTGGAAATAAGTGCTACAATATGATTTCATTGTATTTTCCATCTCTACATTCCGTCTAAAGCCACTGAAGTGGCTAGAGAGAAAGTCAAAAAGCGCATTCAGTTCATGCATCGTGTGGTGACAGAATGCAAGCAGAAATCCTAAAAAACTCCTGAAATGGTTTGACGAATGCAATTTTCTTTCCTGTGTTGACACCTAAAACAGGATATGGCACATTTCTCAATCATTACTGAACCAGAGCGGTATACTGAAATGCCCTCTGCTGGACACCGTAGAGAGTGCAATTGAGACAAGGCCAAAAAATATAATGAGGTGTTCACAGCCAACTTAAAAAGAACCCTATCAAGAAAAAAGTAAAAGCCATTATACTGAAGTAATTGAATGAGTCAATATCACAAGGCTGGCTGAGTCCAATGGGCCATGACCCATTCCTCTCCCTGACCCAAAGTATTCTTCTGTTCAAAGGAAGCCTATTCAGCTTTAGTCACAGCCTTATTAATAACAAACCTGCATTAAATACAATTCACAAAGCCAGTAAACCTCTCAATACATTTCTGGCTGGACGTTGTCATGAGGTGGAGTCTACAAAATGCCATTAACACAAGTACAAATGTGACCTTTTATTGACACTCACCTAGGTAGGGGATGCAGGGGGCCATTTTGAGGGACCTGATGTACTCTCTCATGCGGTTGTAATTCTCTTCCTTTGACGTCAGAAAGTCAAGCTTCTCAAGTGTGGCCTTGTCCTTTCGACTGATCAACTGTTCAGAACAGAAAGCACATAAGAAATGAACAGTTCATTCAGCAAATTAGGAACAGCTAATGGATGTCTAAATCTAAAACATCTAAATCAGAGGCATTCATACATAATACATATCAGGATAGGAACAAGTAGAAAAAAAATTATATATACAATTTAATATATACACTATATACAACTGAACACAAGTATATTTAAAGATAAAATTATTATTATTAATATATCCAGTTTAAATTTTATGAAAAAAATATCCTCATCATCATAAACTATTTTTCTCAGTTACCTCTGTTAATCCATTCAAATATGATAAAAAAGCTAATAAATTCCAGTAAAATCTAAAATAATATTATATAATATTTACAAAAACTGTATTCAAAGACATAACTACATTTGAAAAACTGTTATAGTTATGTCTTTGAATACAGTTTTAAATTTCATATAATGATATTCTTGGTTTTACTTGGTGAATTTATCATAATAGAATAATAATCAGAAAATATTTTTAATCTCAGCTCTGCCTCTGTTCATTCTGTATACTCAGTATAACAAATTCAGTTAATATTCTGCCTCTGGAAAATAAATCGAGTTACTCCCAATTGGCTACTAACTTTAGTAGGGGGGACTTGAGGAGGTGCCGTTTTGTAAATTTTCTCAGAGGGGAGCACCAGTAAGATTCTAAATAAAGCTGTCTGCAAATATGTTAAATATGAAAATTACGACACAATGAAATTGTATTGTATTAAGGAATAAGTTCCCAGAACTCAGTGCCTAAACTCCAGGGGCATATTTCTTATTTACAGAAAGTGCATGATAACAATAAACAGGCTCAGTGTCTAAAATGCCTTTATGAGTGGCATAATTTCACCCAGTGCTTCTTTACAGCACATGTGCTATTGAATCTGTGGGGATGACCATGTGCAAAACCCCTATTAGGATGAACAAATAGCTCATTAACTAAAGAATTCCATCCCAC